AGAATAATAATACGTAATAATACCAATACCTTACGTCTTGTCCTTGGGTGTAACAGTATTCTCATTTCCGTTTAGTTCAAATACATTTTACATTATTTTCTTAACAAGTGTGTCTTTTATTTAAATTTTGATTTCAAGATTAAATATTTATAGTACCCGCACTATGAGTTTCTCAACGAGCATTGATAATAATTACAAGAATTAATGGTCACAGATATTTATCTCTTATACCTAAATATTATACACACACACTCATAGATTTTAATCAAAGTAGCAGAACCATTACTAATGGAAACATTTAAGATTTAGAATATCGATAAAAAATAATCCGAGAACTACATTTCACCTATAGCTGCTCTAGGTCCGTATATATTATTATATCTATTCAACATTCAACAAAGAAGCGTATTGCAAAATTAAGTTTTAAATATTTGAATACGTATAAATGAATACATATTATTTTATAACTTTTAAAATAAATAATTCTATGTTGTACGATTAAAAATATAAAAACTTTTTTTTAATATAAATAATTAAATAAAATTTATAGTTTTATTTTCAAATTCTAGGACCAGAACGCTTAAAATTGATTTGTTTATATACTATTTTAATAAAAATTAATATTTTATTTTTAAAAAAAATATGCTTTTTGCATAACATTTTGTGTTGTAAGACTAATCTTAAGCTTCAGCACTTATTAATTAATCCATCGACATAATCTTTAAACCCATATAATAGTGATGATTATAGTTTTTATAAGTCGAATATTATATTTACAATGAAAAAATTTCGGAGAAGTTATTCGCCAAGATAATTTATACATAGCTTATGATTACTGACTCTACAAAAAGTAAATACTACGAAAAATTGTACAGGAAGACATGCGTGATCTTGCATTTCAAGTAACATTAAACCAGTTAGAATATTAACACATTTACACATGTATTTTAATATTTTTGCACATGAATACATACTATTATCTAACCAGTTTCATGAAGTACCTATTAAAAACCATATCGCACAACTTGAAGTTTTAATTTTTTTTATTTGACATGGAATATTATTTATATTCTTATAGTATAAGATAAATTCACCACCGACGCGCCAAACGTTTGACTAGTAATGATCGCTTGAGGTAATTTAACTTATTTAGCAACTATTAAGTCGGCCAAGTATTTGATTTGCTTTTAAATGTGAACGTTAACATTAAAATATACAACGTCAATTATATTTGAAATATGTTAAATATCTTTAAAAAAATAAAAACGTATATGCGAATTAACATTTAATACAATGCACGTATTATAATAATATTATTTTTCTGAACAAAAAAAAGTAGGAATCAAACAACTAAAGAAACAACTGTATCCATAATCAATTATCATTTATCATTTATAATCGATTATAAATTAAACATACACAATTAAGTATTACATAATTTTTGGAAAGAAACAATGAATAATTACAATTATTTATTTTTATGCAATTAAAAATAGAATGCAATAATCATTCTAATTGGATAGATATAACTTAATAATAATATTTGTTCATTTTATACATGTCTTAAATTATAGGGTTTGGGTAATTTATTTCCTTGATTTGTTCATATTAAATATATAAAATATTTTCATATTAAAATTATACATCAGTTTAAAACGTTCATATTGCATATTTTGTAAAAACTATTACAAATAAATTGATATCGATTAATATTAATAGTACTTAGTGACCGTTTTAAGTAAATCGTGTAAGTAACTTAATTCAATGCATAGGACTTAAATAACTTTATATTTTCCTAAACTTGAATGTGACCGATCAAGGATAAAAATACAATTAAAATAAATTTAACAGTTTTATTATTTAATAATATAATTTTTAATAAAAACTAATACTTATAATTACTTGTTAATGTAAATCATTTAAAAAAAATATATGGCATTAAGTTTAAATAATTATGATAAAACACAAACACTGAAACATCAATTGAAGTGGTTTTTTAACAAAAATATTACTTTAAACTCAAAAAATGATTATAACAGAAACTTTAATTTTAATTAACAATTAATAAAAATAAAAATGCTTTCGAAAATTTTGTGATGTGAAATATGAGATTCTGAGAATATAATTAAAATCTATTAGTCGGCTTATTCTCGAGTCTAGGTAGCGGATACTCCATCTATTTTAATTAACCAACGTTTCACGAATTTCTTTACATATATAGAACATAATAATGTATATTTTTTATTTTTTGTTTATAACAAAACCTTTTCTCAAGCCCCTTTCGACCCGTTCCCCACCACAAACTCGTCCACTCGGTGGACAACACACAAATTACAAGTATTATGTAATTTAGTATTATCAATTTCTCGAAAACTATGTCGGTACCGCCCCTTGAATAATGTCTCTGAACGTTTAAGAACACAATTATACGTTACGGTTTCGCAATATCTCAACGTTCGTGTATAATGATCATTTCGTACAAAATCGGAATAAGTTTCCCACGCGTCGATTTGCATCGGAAGGGAAAACAAAACGCATCTCGTATGCATTCACAAGCTTATTTCCATCCGAATGATATTCAAGCCTCAAGCCCATTTCGGACATTCCTTCGGTTGCCCCACAAAACCGTTTAAGATAATAACAAGATTGAACGCGCATCAATAGTACACTGTGGTAACAACGTTTAATTACTAACATTATGCAGCGTTTTTTTTTTTTTTTTTTTTTTTATGTATATAAATACCTCACATAGTACAAGCACCAAAATATGTGAGTGGCACTTGTCCTCACGAAAACCCTCTCGTTGAATATTAGTTTTAAACATAAAAGAAATGTAATGTTATTCAGACAACGAAACAAATATTAATGTAATTTTTACTGCACTATACAGTCTACGATAAGTAATATTTTTAATATTTGTACGAGATCAGTATATGTTACTCACCAATCAAAATGTAATATTTAAACATAAGATATTGTAATAATATCCATGGAAAAATATTATATATTTCCGTTTTTTGCATTTCTACTACTGTGTATTATAATCAATAAGTTTTTAAAATTAAGAAAATAATCCGTATGAAACGATTCATCCTTTGCAAATGTGATAGTAATACTAATGTTTAGCCAATAAAGAAGAAAAAAATGTTGTTTCATACTCAATAGAAATACGAACACACCAATATGATATAATAAACGTTCTACGATGGGAGACGCTAAACAAAATAATCGAGTAACATATAAACGTTACTTAGAAAACACAACAAACGGTTATGGAGGTTTATAAATCCGTCTACGAAATCGAGTATAAACATGTAGTTATTATTTTCTTACAGATCGAATACAGTAGCTTATCGTGTAATATAATTGTTTTATCTCGGTCTTACCATCTTTAAAACTGCCGGGTACAACAATTATATGTTATTATTTGCCAAAGACTGTTTTTTTTTTTTTTTTTTAAAAAGACTTACAGTTTAAAGCATTTTCTGAGATCTATATATAATTATACACCATGACTCGCTGGATACAACAGTGAAAGAAAAGAAAACACAAAGGAATTATCGATAGAAACGAAATTAACGTACTAAGGCACCTACAACGCGGCGCGCGCGCAAACAGTATACCAACAACGGAAATAAGGCATCTGAATAGACATCAATTTTTAGACATCTACTCTATAGGTACGTTATATTAATACTACAACAGTCATCAAGCATTCAAACGTAGGTCAACAACATTATCAATCCTTTATTTTCAACTCGACAAAACACACGCATGTTTGTTCGATAATAAACTTAAAGCAATGCAGTAATTATATTTTTTGACTATACATTAAATATTGTGTATAATACAAATTCTAAGCATAGGCGTGTCCACGGTAGGAATGATACTCACTTGCACCTTCACTAAGGTACAGGTAGTCCACACCACAAGCCCATAATTTACTAAATATAATTTTTTTTGTGGATCGTGAAACCTATATTGACTATTGATACAATTAAGAATTAATGAAGACAGTTATTCAAAATTATATGACAAAGTTTTAGATATTTTCTTAAACAAAAAAGAGATACCTAGGGAAGACAAAAAAAAAAAAAAAATGTATTCAAGTCAGACGGCAATAAAACAAAACATTTTATGTTTGAAAAAAAAATTGAAATTTAATTTTTTATGTGGTGCATAATTTTAAAGGACATTTTAAATGGATTAAAATTATGTTTTAGTTAAAAAATATTTTCACTTTTAAGTGCAATAGAACATTTAATATAAATTAATCTGAATAAACAAAAATGATATTTACTTTCCAACATGTTCAACTTAAATGATAATAAGCTAGAAGCAGAGCTAAGGGTGATACAATTATTTCTGTTATTCGTTATTGGTAAATTAAATTACCTATCATTAGTATATTTAATAATTTTCCAAATTTTTACAAAATATCAATTTTATTTGTAACAATTCTTGTTAAAAGTTGATCTTGTGAAAGATCATTTTCTTAATACAATTAAGTAAGAATTAACTCAAAAGTTTTAAGCCACAAAACCAATTAGAATCAATGATGTTAATATTTGCAGAATAGGAATTGGCAGCACAACTAGATCCATAAAGATATCATAGAAGAGTTTAAATATCTAATAATACTAAATGTCATCTTAAACCACGTAATTATTTTATAGAACAGCAACTTAATATATATATATATATATATATATATATATATTAAATTATCAATCTATTCAGATCATAATGTCAAATATACAAACAGTTGATAATACCAATAGAAAAATGAAAAAAAATCATTCACATCCGAACAATATAATCCAGCAATCCATCCTTAAAGATTTTTATGTCAAAGTCGTAGGGGAACCACCTGGTAGCATTTTTTGACTTAGAAACCAATCATACAATGTTATTTTCTAAATTTTCATTCTAGCCTAAGCTTCAGTTCTTATGAAAATAATATTGGTAAAATATATATTGATAATAAATTAAAATTTTACCTGATGGTTTTAGAGCTTTAATAGCAAATGGAATTACTAGATGTGGATGAGGCAAATCTAAAAATACAGCATCTGCTTTACCAGACACTTTATCACAAAATCCATTTTGGCAAACATCTCTAAGAAGCACAATAATATAAATATAAAAAAAAATGTAATATAACATTCAAACAAAAACTATAACAAAATAAATGTAACTACCTGCATTGACTAGTAACAATATCAGACAATCCATGAGATTTAAACTCTTTTTGAGCCTGATCTGCTCTTTGTTCATGAAAATCATAAGTATAAATATGTCCAGTTGGTTGTACTCTGAAAGCCATAGAATGAGTTAATGAACCACTTCCAGTTCCTATATGATAACAAATTTAAAGAGTATAATATTTTCTTGTATAAACTATGAATTAAAATAAAAGTCAAATTATATTACCTGACTCGACCACAATACTACCAGGTTTAAGTTCTAACATAAACATAATAAGACTTATATCTGGTGTGTATATGATCTGAGTTCTGTGAGGCAATGTCTGAGTCCAAAGTTCTGGTGTTGGATATAAAACATAAGCCCATCCATGGGACAAATTAACTTTTGATCCAAACTGTTTCCCAAATAATGATGAAATTTTCAATGCTCCATACTTAGTTTGCATGACGTTTTCAACTTTTTCACCTTTACGGTTTTCGATTATTGACTGAACTTGTATAGCATACATAGCTTGTGGGTTAATGTATAGTATGACGGTGTCTCCTTCTTCTATAATGTCTTTATAACGATTAAAACTCATTTCTAATAAAAAACAACAAACCAAATAATAAAACATGTGGTATACAAAAATAAAATCTATGATTAAGTCGTATGAATATCCATCTAAATTCTTATAAGTCATAATATTTTAAAAAATACAAAAGTTTATTTTAAATTAATTTATAGTTTCTGGTTTTTTTTTTTAGCAAATCCATACTCTGATTTTGTAAAATTTAAATATACATAGACACCGATTCATATTTTATACAATCAATAACATTATACCTAATAGATAAGTTTTATTTACTTTGTAATTTTCATAGAATGAGAAATTAAGCAATGATCTTATTAGTACTTAGTTGCACCAGTTATTTTAAAATTGCAGTACAATGAAATAATATATTATCTGAACACTTAGGCACCTTTTTCTAAAAATCTATTTTGGGATAAAACTGATGAAAATTTGACTCATCAAAAATACTACCCCAAAAACATATAGGGAAATTGCCTCACACAAAAATAGATTTTGGCCATTTTCTTTGTACTTATATCAGAGTTGATAAAAAACAAAAAAATGTTTCAATCGTTTCTGTAATTACACTAAATACAGCTGTTTAACTGTTAACACCTTAGATCATAAGATAAACATAATTTAATCACTGTTCAATAAAAAAATAAAAAAATGAATTATCTATTGCAGAATATTTAATAAAACTTGTAGACGGTACATGATTGGATAAAAATTATGTCTAAGACAACGGTTTTTTTCACATTGTTAAAAATGTTTTAAACGATTTAAACAAAACCGAATTTGATTAAATTAAATGATTAGAACATGTTTTAAACATCTCAACTCTTGTATAGATATTTTAGCACCCGTGTCTACATCTGACCACTGTCAACAATCATCAATTACATCAATACAGAGTGTACTAAGAACATGAGTTTTCTTTTTAATTAGGATTAAGATATACTGATTCGTAAAACATAGGTGGCAAATTGTTTCAAGAATTTTAACATTAACAATAGATATGTTTTATGGTTCGACTTACTATTGAACTGAAAACGATACTAAAAACAAACCACAATCAACACTATTTACTTCGATACTAACGGTCGTATAAATAATTTTGAAAAATTAATGATTTAGTGTAAAAATACAGATATTCATATAACTTTTTAAAAATTGAAGTTAAAATTTTCAAACACACTGGACACAATTTTATCACATGTAAACAAGAACATTGAAACGTTTTTCCTAACCTCAATAATAATACTGTGATAATAAATTATGGTTTATTATAATTTGTGTAACATTGAATCTCGTTTGTGGGGCGGTGCGCGGTAAATTACGACTATAATTCGTATTTTACATCATCGAACAAAAAAATTAAGAAGCAGCCATTGCAATTGAGCAAATACATTTTAAGCAAAATAACATTTAACATATTAATTCAAGAACTAATATGTTTAAATAAAAAATATAATTCAATTTTTACTTAATTTTCAAGCAGAGTTGAAACTTCTACTTAGGCAACGATATATTGATAATTACTAGAAAAATTTAAAATATATTTAACGTCTTAACAACAGCAATCATTAATATCATGGTATAATTTAAATAACACAATTTTAACGGTTCATTATAATATTTAAATATGGAATAAAACGTCTATATAAAAATAGATAACTATTAAATACACTTTGTTATTCGGTTTATATATAGTAGAATATTTTTATATAAAAATTATAATTTATAAAATACTTAGACAAATTATTTTAAATCAATATATGAGTTTTTAGTCAAAATTATTATGGAATAATAAATAGGTACATTAACCTCGATAAGCTCAAAGTCAAGGTACTTAGTTCATTAATCATCATTATTAAACATTTACACTATACATCAATAGTTATTATTATCATTATTGATTATAAATTATATTCGTTGAAATATATTAAATTTAAAATATTGTATAAACAATATATAAATAACAGTTATTCAACGATTCTAACAGAAAACAAAAAATATTCTTATAACTTTTCAGCATAATATTCAATATATTGTTTTTATTAATATCTAGGCCAATTTGTTGCCAAATCAATTTATATTTTAAAAAATCAGTTTACAATAAAATTACTCTGTATCAATATTTTAACATTATACTTAGAGCCTGGATTGATTTAAAAACTCAATTCTAATATTTATTATAGAAATAAATAATTTATATTGAATTCATATACCAATGCTTAGTAATTAAATAAAAACTATTTGTAGAAAAAAATAATACTCAAATTATATCATGAGATCTAGAATAAGTATTTTAGTCACATTTAACTGTAATAGACAATATTAAGTTTACAGAGTATTATCAGTAAAAAAAATTGAAATTTAAAAAAATAAATAACAGTCAGAGACTCACTTTATGTCTAGTTATTGAATACAAAAAATACATCAGAAAAATAATTACAATAATAATAATTCAAATCTATATTAAATGAATAACTATTTTATTTAATAGCAATGTTGCATGAAAAGGATGTTATCGTTTATCCTGCAATGGTTTAACTGTCTTTAATACATATCATACAATTTGGAAAAAAGTCATTAAAAACTTTAAATACTATTATTTGTCAACATTTAAACAATATCTATGAAAATGGAACATGATCATAAAAATATATTTAGGATCAAAAACATTAAATAAACATTATTATATAAACATTAAATAAACTATATATTCATTAAAATTTTGTTTCTTCAGCAAATGGAGTTCACAAGGAAGTATTTCTCAAAATGTATTGGTCAAAATAGTTCAATTTTCACTAATCCATAGCTATTAACTTCTTCAAATACTGGAAACTCTCCAGTACAATCTATACAAAATCCAACAATTAATAATCAAAGTTTAAACATATATTGGAGAAAATAAAGCCATATTTCAGAATATACTTTGAGAAAAATAATTTTTACCTCAAAGACTAGGTTATTGAACAATGTTCTAGACTTGGAAGTAATAAAGTAGAAAGTTCTTTTTTCTTCACCAAAATATGTAATTATATTTTCTTCAAAATTTGCACCCAACATTAAATAAAATCCTTGATACACGTATATGATATCAGAGTTGATATTTAATATAATCTGTAAAAATATCAGTACAAGATAATACACATTAAATACATACTTAGTTATCATTTAGTTGTGCTAATAGAAACAATTAATAATTTTTACTCGCAACATTCATACCAAAATATATTTCCCAATTCCTATACAAGTCTACACATTATATATTACAATTGCAGAATTTTATCGAAACAAAATATTATTAGTTACTTCTAATGATGGGTCAATTACTAAGAATTGTCAGTCAGCTAAAGAACAAAAGTAATAACAATTTATTTTATCCCTTGTCATAATGTTATGAAATTTGAACTAAAAAAAAAAAGAACTACCAAAATATTGCAATTATTATTGAAATAATTAGTAATTTGATGGTAGATATTGATCGATAACAGGTTAACGTCCATCTCTTAATCAATAGTGATTATATCAGTGTAAAACACAAATGTAGATAATCTTATACATTGTTTAAAATTTAAAATAATTTTATACTTGTTGCGGACTGTAATTTACTTCATCATCATGTACACTAAGATATTTAATAACATTTATCATTTCTATACAAAATGAACTCAAGCTTCAGTTTCTATTATTGTAAAACGATAAATGTATATATTATGTTAAATTATCAGTATTAATTAAAATTGAAATAGAAAATGTTTGTAATTAAACAATTTAAATCTATAAAAGAGCATATTCTAGCACCTGAGTGACAAAATACATAGAATAGCGTTTACAATAGGAAAATCTTTTAAAATTATTAATTGATTTTACATGATTTAAAATAAATATTTAAAATAAACCCAAAAAAAAACCTAGTTTTTCAAATCTGATTTATTTAATAATAATTCTAGCTAAGATAGAACTCAACATTAAAACTCACTACACATTCATTGAACTGTCATTGTTGTTTAGGCATCAGATACCTATTAATTTGGTAAACATAATGAACTGATATTTTGTCTATACTGTAGTAAAAAAAAAAAAAAAAAATGAATTTATAATTGTTCTCAGGAAAAATAATATTATTTTTAATCTCTTATGGAAGTGTGCAACCAAAATTGTATTGAATTAATGATGAAATATTGATGTATAAATGTGTAATGCAAGAACTTATTTTTTAACTAAGAATAGTAATGGGTTTGAAACTGGTTTATATTTTTTATCTATTACTACACGACTACCTTTTTAATGATAGTGTTGGTGTGGTGTATAATTTTTCAACTATAAATTTAAATAATTACTCAAATATGGACGCATGTATATTATATTATTATATATATTTATTTTTTTTAAGTATGAATTATGAATTATGTTTTACGATATATATTTATTGTATACAACACTGTCTTTTTAAACATCTTTGCAATAATGTAAGTATATTTTCAATACAAAATAATTTAAATGCAACATTTATACTTTAAAAATGTATTGAGTATCCACAAATTAGAAGTTAAAGTTTATATCAAATGCACTAAATCGTTAATGAAAATGTAATTTCTTAAATTTAACTATTGAAAATATTTGTACACACTGTTTGTAATGTAATTTCTAAATCACCCTTGAAGTATACACTGTGATTCATTTCTTGTTTTTTAATTTTTTTTTAACTCCTATGATCAAAGTATACATTATAAGATTAAAAGTGGTGAAAAAATCTCCAATGAGCCTACAAAAACACTGCTGCCAAAACACTACTTTGATGTATCACTACATTATACTATTTTTAGTCAATCAAATAAGTATAAAAATTAGAAAATGACTTTATGGTAGTTACGCAATATTGTATAATAGTTCATTTGTGATAAATTAAACACATTATTTTTTAATGTGCCAAATAAAAATGGTAATGCAATTAATCACATGGTAAACATAATAATTTAACACCCACAATCATTAATTGTTTTTCTAATATCAGTAAACACTTCAATTCCCAACATTGTAACTCATAATCTGTCCGGTCGTTAATTATATGCCATCTACGTTCGATTACATTTTAAATAAATTAAATGAAGGTGAAGAAATTCTGAAAGAATAACATTAATACATTTCCAACACCAATTATTTTCCCACCTAAATGATAGTTAAATATATATATATATATACTTATTACAATTCGAATTATTGTATAGCAGTTCTCTAGTGTAAACACATAGGTATTGTTCCTTATTAATCAAGTGGAGAATTTTCCTTGGATATCATATTTCATAACAATGGATTTTCTATAAAAAAAATAATATATTTCAAATGCTACAACAAATACTATTAATGACCAATAGTTTTTCATAGTAACTACTTTAATAATTTTACTTGAATATTAAATTAATCATAGTCCATAGCTAACCAATTATCATTTTCTACTTTTTTCTTGTTTGCATCGGGCAAACATGATATATGCAGCCACCTTGTACAAGAATCATATTGAACCGTTGAGCTATATTCTTCAGCAACACCTTGATAATTTCCTTTCAAATTTCCTTCATCTTTTTCACAAATCAAATAATTGTTTTTAATTCACATAAACCTTGTGAATATCATGTTCTCCAAGTCTTTGCGGTAAACATTGGAATTGGAATCATCAATTACTTTTACAGCTCATTAATTAATTTGAAAATTATAATATGAATACACCACAGATATATCCATAATTTTGATATGGTATATTGACATATAGATCCATCCATTTATCGACATTGCTAATTACTTGCATTGGATTCCACTTCTTGGATATACTCTTCAACATATCCAGAACACACATTCAGTAGAGTTTAAATAACTGACAGTCTTTTCAATAAAATTGACATACAATCAAGTCCAAATACTATTTTCCAGTGACTGTACTATAAGTCTAGACAAATTAAACCATTCAAGTCTTCCGTTGGTAGAGTTCTCAAAATTTTTTCCAACATTTAACAAATAATATCTGTAATCAGACACTTTATTTGTTGTTTTTTTTTTAGTTATCCAAATATATTCATTTTTTTCTAAAAATATATTTGTAATATACACCATATTTTAGTATTTTATAACAAATGTTCCATGCCACCAGCTTGATTTCAACTTGAGCAGTCAAATATGTGTTATTAATTAGACGTGAGACTTTAACTTTTAATACTTTTAATATATTTATTTTATAAATCAAAGTGTTAACAAAATTCTGATACTAAGTGCATTAAGTTGGTTGTAGTTCTAGTTGTGGTTCTGTGATTAGAACTAGTTACATAATTGCACACGGTTTCAATAAATATATGGTAGCCCATAACAATCAAAGAGAACAGCTATCACCTTCAGTATTTAACTGTTTAAAGTCCAAATAAGTTATCTACACCTCATCATTATCAAAAGAAATTTTTGATACTACATAGTCATCAACTCCGAGATAAGATCGCATGTAATAATTTGCATCTTTCACTAGTTTACTAGTGCGATATAAATTATATTTTCCTGTAGGTGACTTTATATTTTACTGTTCCCAAACCACCACACGACCATGAATGTTGATATAAATTATTACTTAAATCCTCATTTTCTGGACAACATTCAACTACCACTGAAGACATAGTTTCATCAACACCTTCAGTTTAGTTTTGAATTTTTTCAACATGCTTTTTCTTTATTGTTACCTGGTCAAGATTTCTCATATTTAGCATGATCATCATTGGTATCTAATATTTGTTGCTCTGAATCTAGGATTGTTTTTTCACGACAACTAATAGTTGTTTGTGGGTCTGTCATCTCTTTTGTTTCCTCTTCAATAGCAATATTATCATTTTCTTATTGTCTATTATTTTGAACAGGTTTACTATTGTTAGCATACAAGACCCTATTGTTGTTTCTCAAGAACGCAGGACATTTACCGTTCTTTCTCCAAATTTCTGGAGTGTTCGAAAGCAAATTATCTTCATCACCATATTTGTTACCAATTGCACACTTCCACCTTGGTATTTTTATTTTCAATTGCCTAAAACAATTACCTTTATACATAGTTTATCATTTCAACAAATCCCTACACTTCATTTTTTTCTTACCAAATTAAAACAGCTTTAAATTGGAGCTTTACTCTGACGATCAAATTTACTAAGTATAAAATAACTTTTTCCCATAATGGTATGCAAGGTACATTCTCCAAAAGGATATGCAACAAATATTTTTTGCTGTACATACTGTTCACCTCGAGGTTATTCTGATCAAACAAAGTTCAACACTTTCAAATATTTGTCTGAAATCATAAAAAAGGCAGATTTTTTTATGTTCAACATAATGGGAATACTCAAATGTTTCATCTGTGGCATTGCCATCCAAAAAATTAATATTATCAACTGGCAGTTGAATCACACGTCTTCAACCAACCCATGCTGTGCTCTAAGTTTTGAAGTAATTCCTTTAAATTCTTGTTTATGTTTTTCTGTTGATCTTTCTGACACTAATAAAAAATTACTAACTGCCCACATAGCTCCTGATAAGACGGTACCTTAATAGACTTAAGAGTTGATTTACTGGATTCAACACTTGTAGCGAGCCTGGACCTGGAGTGGCTAGGCCCGTACGATTATTTAATAACGAAGGTCTCGCTGTTGGCCGCTGGTTGAAGCGTCAGAGGATCGGATAGATGTACACGAATGTTTATAACTTTATCAAGAAATACATTAAAACAATGAACACTGAACAATAGTAACTAACAAAGTATAAAACACGCGAGCAATCTACGGTTCGGCCGCAACGGGTGAAGCACGGACTACGTGTTCGATGCAAAGCTACAAGTTCGTCTTATCAATTACGTTGGAATGGCAACACGATGAATATAAACGTTATCACAACAACTACTACACGGCGTTATCAGTTGTTGTTGACAGAACAGACGGTAAAAACGGTTACCGCGTTGGCGCACTCGTACGGACTGGCAACGTAAAATTATATTAATGAAAGTATACATTAAATGAAATACCTTGAAGATAATCATTCGATTATGATAATCTGCTACTACTTCCTTTGCTCGTCCAGCCCAACTTACTGGCTAGTTATTTTTAATTGGTGTACTTAGATGTCCTGTTATACTTTGAACTATTTTAATTTCCGTTAGATTTTGATGACATCTTAAACTATTTGTTCGTTTATAGATTGAACGATGTTGACCAGAAAGTAAATGAGCAAATCCATTGTTAAATCCTTCGCAAATGTTGTTCGTTTTATCCCAGTCACTATGTTTCACCTCAAAAAACATTCCATAAAGGAATAGGAAACAACGAAGAATATCTTTGTTCCCGTTTTTTTAGTATCAATCCACGTTTCATCAAAGTATGTCAGAAAAGCAAAAATAATCAGATTATTTTTAACAAAAAAGTCTAAATTTAGTATTTTTTCATAGGCATCACAAACAATCTGATGGTGGTATAAAAGCAAGAAAAGCAAAATAACGAATTTTTGAAGAGAAATTTATATTGTACAACTTTTATATTTCTGGTATTGTTTAAATTTTTTTCCAAATAGCTTTCATTAGATGAAAGTAGCAACCCCGTTGTTTAGTAATTGGAAAACACTCCATGTATGATTTTCTAGAAGCCATTTCAACACCTGTTGTAATAGACTCTGGCTCGAACTTTCCAAATATCGTAGTCTTCTTCTGTCCTGTGAGTCATTAAACTGTATACCAATAGGAATATGGATCCACCATTTAATTTTCTGTGAATTACAAAAAACTGATTAAAAATTGATGGAGCAGATTTTTTCATCCGCATACCACTGTGAACATTATTTTAATGTTTTCAAAATATCCTTAGTACAGAATAATAAAACACGCATGTTTTCACTTCCAGAATCAACATTTTAATTATTTTCTTTTTTATCTATTATTTGATATATATCGGGAATTATTAGTTCTTCCACACAATTAGGGTGTATATTTAGAATTTCCTTCTTTCGTAGTCGCTGAATTGTTCTCTTTAAGAAGTCAATTTTTGGAATATAAGGAATTACTTCACGAGGTAATTTTTTTGAAGCCAAAGCTAAAATCAACGCTGAAATACCAGTAGATACGGTTGCATTTTCTTTTCTTTCTGAAGTAAATTGAATTGCAGCTAATCTGGATGCCTCTGGTAAATGAGTGTGATCATCAAAGTCCCAAACAACGTTATTTTATTGTGTATGACACCTTCCACGACCTTTTTTTACTGTCATATTGACTGCACTGATACACTTTGCATACTTTTTATGGGTTTTAAGGATATCAGATGCATTTGTGATGTAATTGGCTTAATATATTTATCAATGATTCCTATTTTTATCCCTATCTCGTTTTATATTCCAACAATACATATTATAACCAAATTATTTAGCACGTCCACATTTAATACATTTATAAATTTTAAAGTGTTATTGTTCAAGAGTAATATTAAATTTTATATTTTGTTTGTGTAATTTTTGTAAGGTAAAGTACGGGACCTAATACCTGATCAGACCTCATCCCTCTTTGAAGGTCACCCTGTCTCTTTAGAGACGCCACTTAAATTGCGTCCTAATCACTTGGATGCAACTTACCTCTAATAATAATTAACTAATAATTTTCGTCCGACTTTTTCGGATGCAACTTACCTGCTATAATTAATATAGGATGCAAGTATTAAGCACCGTCCGGAACCTGTGTATTTCGATAATGAATGTTAAACTATCGTACCCGACTGTTAACTGTTTTGACGCTTCTCGATTCTTCCAGAAAACTTAATTAAACGCGATTAGAGTTGTCGATATTTGCTAGAAGTCGTAAGTATTTATTTCAAAAATATCCGAAGATCAGTTGTCCCATAAAAATATGTTTTCATTTTTTTTCATTAATGCGTTAAAATATTACCTATTAATTTTGCAAAAATCCTAGTGCATATTATTTCGTGAGTACCTATAGGTATATCTATACCTAGATATCAATACTTTTTTATTTATCCCTATCTATCGTATTTATCAGATACATAAATAATGATTGTAATCATGTATTATTATTGTTGCTGAAAAATAATATGTACTCGTTCTAGTAACTATCAGACTGTTTTGTGTATTGTAATATTTTAGTAAATTTTTTACATTTACAAATCTAGTTGCTATGGTCGAAAAGTGTTAGTAGTTAGTTATCTAAGTGCAAATCGCAATAAATTTATTTATATTCTGTACTATAAACGTGTTTAAAATGCACAACTTTCAATAAATAGTTACTGATTAACGTTTAGTCATTAAACCAATATTTACGAGCGTCAGTAATGTTATGGGAACTATGGTCACTAACCGGAAGGGAGGGATCACGGTTATGGGGAGTTATGAAATCCTTTTACTTTTAGATTATGACTTATAAACGGGACAAATACTCTACTGTATTAATATTTTACAATTATGTCTTATTCAAGTACCAAACTTTCGAACCATAGAACTACACCAAAAGTATCTTTCATGATAATGTATACCTACTTCAGTACTTTGAAAACTGTAAATGGGACTTAAAAAAAAGATAATTTATTAATTTTATCAGTGATTTTTGTGATATAAAAAGAAAAAAAAATAGAGAAAAACATTTTTGAAATAATATTAAACCCTGTCTTGTAAGTTTATATACATATTATTTTTTTTTGATAAGATTAGTAGTTCTTTATTTAACGTCAGGTTGATATTTTAATGTACAAGGCTAACCATAAGAAATATTTTACTTGGTATTCAGAAAAAGTTTGGTTCTTTAACTATAGTTCACTTGTTACATAAAAGTTTTAAGTTTAAAATATGTCTGGTGCAGCTAACTCGTTATTTTCATGAATGGTGAACGTTAGTTTTCCGTTTTAATCTCTTAAGTGTAACATATTTTGTAACAATTATATTTAAAGAATTTTAGATAAAACAAGTATTTTAAACTTGAAGTACAAATAATTTTGCTTTTATTCTAGATATGAAAATTCAAAAATTGATTTTATCACTTAAGTTTACATATTAATTAAAGAATATTGATATACTTTAAATTAATATCTATTATAAATTCTTAATTATTTTCACTCTTGCGTTGGTTTTAATGTGTACGCAAATGCTAATTTAGATTATAGAAGTTAATTTTATAATTCAGTTATTTGAAATATTTAATGAACTCTATAATGCTTTAAATAGATTAAATACACTTAATTACACTGTAATGCGTTTTTCTCAAAATTTGTTACAATAAAGAACTTTTTTTTCGGTTATTTATTAACAATGTTTCTAGTGCTCTTTTCGGTGATATTTTTTTTTTTTTTTTAACTCTTGTCAATGTTTAAATATAATTTAATTTAATTATGCTGTTTTTAATGAAGCTTCACCCTAAGTTATTGGTTTCACTGTAACTCCAGAGGTGATATTCCTATTAAAATATTTACTAAAAAAAAAAATGAAAAGACAAATATTATACTTAATTCATAGGCGAATATTTTTTCACATCCGTGAGGAGGGCTTAACATTTTTATCTTATCCATCAGTGTAAACAGACATTTTTAGACGCTTCAACCTATTAACTAGTGGCTACTCTTACTATATTCTAGTTGAGACACCAAATATTTATACAGGTAATAGGAACCGATATTTTTCGAGAGGGAAAATAATATTTTACTCAATTTAATAAAAAAAGCAAACAAGGAATTTACTTGGTGTCTTAAAATTACATAGTTATGATAAGTTTTAATCGATAAACATACTTCCAATAATTGCATTACTGTTTTTTTTCATAGCTTAATATTATTTAAATATTAAGCATACAAGTACAACTGACATCACAAACATTATATATGGAGTAGGTATGCGCTTACGAAATTTAATTATTATACTACGTTTGATTCAATATGTACACACATGTAAATAAACAATTTATACCGACCATAAAATAATTTATCGACGCTTAAAAATGTATGAAAAACAATTTAAATAATGAATAAAAATGAGTATGCTTATGCAGTGGTGTTCCTATAGAATAGGAATGGGGGACTGGCGACTCATGGGCCGCATCCAGACCGCGTACTTTTTTAATCTGCCCCATGATACATTTTCAAATTACTTCATAACGTTTCAGCGTTTATCGGTGTTTTATTTTTTCACGTTGATCGTAAAACGTAAATATTATATTTTTCTCTAGTGTTGAACTGCAGCTAATTTATTATATTTCTAATAGCATAGCTAACATATCTATACATATTGGGTAAGTTTTGTATTGGTTTAATCGTAAAATTAAATTGTATAAAATAAATGCTAATTGTCAATTCTAAGGACTTTTTTTCATTTTGCCCACCAAATTTTATAGTTTTACAAATTGGCTTTCTATTTACTTTGAGTTGCTAATCCCTGTCATAGATCATGTTGTATAGTCTCAACATAATTTAAATATTGCTCTGGTATATCGTAGTGTACATTACATATATACTTATACGAATAAGTCTTTCGTGGTAATTTTATCGTTTAAAGTAGGTGTACATTCAGAATCACATATTTCATTCATTTTTTAAGTTTTATATAAAAATCATAACGTTATTATACTATACTTTACGGATAAATTTGCATGGCTCATGTTCAGTTATTAATTTTAGCAAAAAATATAGTTCTATAATCAAAGAAAAAAATGTGTCCAACATTTGGATGCCTTTTCATCCTGTATCACTTACCAATAACACACAAAATGTTTGAAATACTTTATGTTTTGAAGATAATTATCTATTCTATAACATTGATAATTTTTATCAAAATAAATTGATAAAGACGGATATATTTAGATAGGTTTCAACAGCGAAAGTCGGAACAGTGATTCGACCACACACAGC